TCTAAAAAATGTCAGTGTTCAGTGTCCTCGCGTAACGTCATCAGTTTACCGAAATAACATCAGCAATATCCCGTATCCACTCTCACCCTGTGGTGAACGGTGGGGTGAGACAAGCTGCTTGGTTGTGACGTCATCGGTGATTACTATGTGATGCGTGGGACCTCATTTTTGTATTTATTAAAGCTTTTTTATATTGACTGTACTACATTTCAGTTTAAACCATTGAGGAAACGTCTGTACGCAAACACACTTCAATTTATCCCAACATCTCTCCTCACCACAACGATTAGCACACTCTATTTTAAACAGTCGTAGGTTTTTACGCTGTTACGCAAACACTATCCAGGCAATATTTTAGTAGTTGAAAAAGTGTGTTCTTTTTTAGTTCTTACCTTAATCCAGTCACTGCAGTCTTTGCTTCGCAACATCACGTCAACAACCTGTGTCTCGTTAATTTAATTAATCGGTAGAGTTGCCGAACTACTTCCCGTATTGGTTTCAAAATAAAAGCCCATTTGAGGTTTTTCCCATGTATTCATTTTTCGACGATAGGTGGCAGTGCCAGCTTATAACGTCTTAAATGAAAATGTGTTTGTTTATATTTGGACTATGGACATTAGCAAAGAACAACCACAAACATATCCCTCATGCTTTGCTTATAAAGTTTGATTAATTTTAGAGTTATTTTTTAAATAAAAAAAACTTCAGTAAATCATTGATGTTTTTTTGCTCTTTTGTTTTTAGCTAAAAGATTATTTTAGGATTATACCAATACTAATTGTTCCCTAAAAAAATACATTTCTTAATTTTTTTCCTAGGGTCTTGGTTCCTTAGATGACGATGATCCAAACATTTTACTGGCCATTCAACTGTCACTCCAGGACTCTGGGCTGGCAGGGAGTGGGTCCAGCAATGAGGTTCTTGCCAACGAAGCCTCACTTGGTGCTATTGGCACGTCCCTGCCTTCTCGGCTTGAACAGAGTGCCCCTGGTGTAGAAGTCCTCCCTAGAGCTTCTCTAAGCAGCTCAGAACTGCTGGAGCTGGGCGATAACTTGGCAAAGCATGGCAACGTCAGCATCAGCAGTCAGTATTCTGCTGCTGCTAATCTAACCACCTCTGTACAGCACTGTGACAGTGGCCATCGGGCCTTTGGGTCTTTGTCAAAGCCAATGGCTCCAGGTGACAGTAGCTCATCAACAGGCATCTTTTCTTCAAGTGACAACGAAGACTCGACTACATGCAGCAGCCACAACCCTTCCTCCTCCTCTGCACTTGCTGCAAATGCTAACCTACTGGGCAACATCATGGCCTGGTTCCATGACATGAATCCTCAAGGTATCACCCTGGTTCCATCAACCTCGTCTGACACCGATTCAAACCTGGATACACTCCACACAGCTGCCTGTCCAGAAAATGATGAAAAAGCTGGTATTGTTGTTGTGCCTCAGGAGGAGATGACACACACAGCTTTCTGCTCTAGGAGGCTGAGTGACCTGGAAGGAAGTCAGAAAGAGTGCATACCGGCTGAGAGACCGACACAGTTAGACCTGGGGCTGGAGAACCGGCCGCTACATTTCATGGCCACTCTAGACCCAAGTGCAGACCGCGCTACTGAACGTAGAGGGTCGAAGGTTTGCCATGTGGACACGCCACAGTGTGACTCTGTTTCTGACCACTTGCCCAGCACCAGCTCATCAGAGTGGGAGGAGCAGGGGCATCTGATGTAGTTTGAACAGCTCTGAAAAAAAGTAGCAAAAACAAAAATCACCACTAGACAAATAGGATGGAGGAAACATTGGTTTGGGGGAATGTATTCAGAATGGAGAATGTTTTCTGGTTGATACTGGTTTAAATGAAGTAGTTTAGTCTTATTATTTTGACTGTGCTGACAGTCCTCAATTTACCAGCTCACCTTGGAAGAGAGTACTAATGAAGTAGTAGAAAAATAGAGGGAAAAAAGGACAGTTTAAAACACTTTTTGATATTGTTTTTTCCCACTGTAGTGAAAGCCTACTGTTGTTTTGTATCAGGTCTGAGGGAGATGAATTTCTGCAGATCAGTTCCTAATATTCAATCTGTACAGATTCTCACACCACTCTACACTTCCCTCATTTTAGGTGCCAAACACTGACGAGCAAAAGCACAGTTTGCAGTCACCAAGTGAATTATTCAAAGCAAATTGTGCCTGCTGAATACAATTTAAAATGACTCAGCTCAACTTTAATGTTAAAGTCTGGAGCCATATTTTGGAGATTGTGGCTGAGTATATATATTTTTTATTTAAACCACTGTAGTGTTCTATATAAATGTGCAGTTTAAAGTTCCTAATGGATTTTTCTAATCAGTAGAAACACACATCATCCAAATGAAAAGGAACTGCCCTGTTTCAGAACATCAGAAACGGCCTCGACCATGGTTATTTATCTCAAACCCTTCATCAGAGAACAGTTTCGACAAGAAATGTCTGGAGAGTTAAAAAAAAAAAACAGAAGCTGACGGAGCCAGGGGGGCTTTAAAATATTGGATTCTGGATTCTGCCATTCACTTTCACAGTGTTACATACATCCACAGCAGGAAAAACCTTTCAAAGAAATCCTCCAGCCTTCAGATTCAAATGATTCAATGAAGCGAGCCCAGGTCGCTGTCAGTAATCTAGTTAATTTTTAAAGTGTAAATTAACAAATAACTTTTGTCCTTGACTGCAGGGTAACGTGTGTGAAAATTTCAAGCATTTCTTTAAAACACTAAAAGACTCAGTGCCTTTGTGTCAATCACTGTCACAAATCTTCTAAAAGTATTTGTACAGTACACGAAACAAACACCTGTTACCTTAAAAGTTGTTTTTCTTTCACATTGTTTGTGTAGTGCAGAAAAGAGCTCTTGTTTTTTTAATTTTTTAATTTTATAATAATTTTTCATTATTTCAGCATTTATTGCAACACAAAATACACAACGCTTACCACCGTTTTACCAAGTCTCTCAGTCTAATCTGACAGCACAGATGAAACAGAATGAGCAAGGTTAAGATAAAGTTGTAAAAAATTACTGAGGCAGATGTAATAATGAAAATGAAAACTCACTGTCAGACAAAATAAATGATGTAATAATGAAAATGAAAACTCACTCACTGTCAGACAAAATAAACAGGAATATCAAATAGGCCATCGATAGAAACAAGTATGATTCCCTTTAACTAAAAAAATGAGAGAAATCATATCAGCAACAGCCAGACTAATAAATACATTAATACTTATACAGCATAAAAGTACTGCATCAACCAGCCGCCCATTGGAGACGTCATGTGAAATGGTGCCAGAGTATCAGCTTCAAACAGTAGCTTCACTGTATGATTGTACAAATATTAAAAATAGCAGTTCACTGCAAAAAGGGAAAAGAACCTCAAGGCAAAACTAATGGTGTGTGTGTGCGTGTTGTGTATTACTGCTTCAATCAGCTCCATCCTCTGAGGGAATGTGCGAGGACTTTTAATCCAAGAAGGGAGATCAAGGTTGTTTTTAAAAAAATCCTCTCTATGAGTCTTTCAGGGTAAATAAATCTGATCCTCTCAAACCTGATGTACTACCATCGTATCATTCTTTTTCAAGCCATCTGTGTAGGAAAGAGGTTTAATATTTGTATTATTAGAATCATTTTTGGAATGTTGCTAAAAAATAAAATTGAGTAATCTTAGAAAATAAAATAACCAAATTTTTGTCCAAATAAAGACAGGGTGATAATGTGTTACCCTGGCCTGCATGTGAGTGGAGACAGGAATTGGACTGTTAGTGCTGTTCTGTGAATGAAGTGCAGAGATTCAGAAAGAAGGAAGATGACTCGTATTCAAAGATGTAAATTCTTTGTGGAGCTTGAACGGTTGAAAGGTTAGCTTTTTTTGTTGCATATAAAGGGTTAACACTTTTTTGTTATTAGATAAAGTAAGCAATGCTTCAATCTCCCCGAACAAAGGTTTTATTTCATGAATAGTTTTTTATTATTTGCACAGTGTGCGCTTCGTAGTCTTAGTTTTCTTCTTTATTCAGGACTAATTGTGACTGTACCGACTGAGCTGACCTAACATATAAACATACTAAAAAACACCAGAAGACACTTTATTGTAGGAGAGCAGAAATGTCAGGTTGGAATTCATTAAACATTTCTTGTGAAAAACCACTATAAAAACCCACGCATCAGTGTGTTCACCTTGAAGGTTGAATCTAGTTTTTGTACAAACTGACGTCTGACTGAAGCGAAGCCTGTGTTCATTCAGCAGTGAAAGCTCCACAAGTGTGTTGAAGGTGTGAAATCGAGTGCCAAACATTTTAATGGGGCCAACTTTGTTGACCCTGCTAATGTAAATGTGTTTAATGGAGGCTGTGACACGCGGTGCCCTTTTCTGTGTGACATGATGCCGGGCTAGAAACAGGCTCAGGTTTAAGTGGAGTTCAGTTCTTCCTCTGATGTCTAGGAGATTTTATTTTCAAATGAAATCTAACTTTTTTTTCTATTGTAAAGCAACTAATCCTTGAAATGCTGTTTGCACTTTGATAGTCTATACTTGATACATTCCCTCTTTATATGAAACATGTTTGACGTGAGATGCCAATAAAGTATGTGCTTTAATGTGTGCCCTTTCATCTATATTCATTCAGTTACTCTCAGTATTAGTACTAATTTTAATTCCTATTATAAAAACATTGTAAAGCACTGTTAAAAATAATACAGGTTGCAGGAGCTTTTGTCGGTTTGGCGAAAAATAACTGGTGTTTTTAGGCTTTTAATAAAAAAAATCCCAATAACGAATTGTAATGGTATAGTATTTTTTTCTTGAAAGCTTAAGGAAATCAAACATATCAATATTTACTGTCTCCACTGCAGGCAGATTACATACAGCAAAAACAGGAACCAAAGCTAAAATGTCTGTACACTGAAGTACATTAAACCTCTCAATCCTTCGATTACATGTACAAATACTGCAGAACACAATAATAATACACCAATAAGAGCTTTTAAAAAAATATTTATTTGTTTTTTAATTTGCTAATTTACGCTACACCAGTTACGCTGTTGCACACACTCCAGCCCAGTAGGTGGCAGTAATGTACCTGAACTCTATTCACCAGTGGCTTCAGAGCACAAGATAGTTTAGTGAACAGTGTAGACAGAAATGTTTGTTTTTTGGTAAAAAAGAAAAAAAGAAATCCTGATTGCAGATTGGTTAAATGCGACAATAATGGCATGTAATGATAACAATTTTGTCGTCATCATAAATCGATCAACAAACATGTCACTGCATAGACACCTGCACTAACACTAGCTGAGCTCAGCATGCCCACAAAAGACCAGATAATGAGTTCAGGTTAAAATGTTGAATGTTAGGCTGCAACACTGAGAGGTCCATACACACTGCAGGCAAATAGAGAAAAGCTGATAAATATAATAGTTAACAAAGTAACCAGATGTCTCTGTTGTTCACATGCAAATCTTTCATTAAATCAGTTGTAAACCAGATCATTTGAATCAAACTACTTTTCTCATTATAAAAAATAATGTTGTTTTAAAACAAATTAAAATATTCCAGACTAATTATTTACATGGCTTTTTAATTTCTTTAATCACAACCCACCACAAATGTTAACGCAGTATACTGTTTTTTTGTTTTGCCTAACCAATGGTTAGCTGTCGCATATTGCAATGAGTTGAAGCAGCAGCAGAAACAGACCGACGATGTCCAAATAAAGGTTGAGAGCAGCGAAGATGTACTCCTCGGGAGACACCTCATACTTCCGGTGTTTTCCACCCACGATCAATTGCGTGTCGAACACCAAGTACTGCAGCAGAGACAAAAGAGAGCCGTGAGGCTTCAGCCATGACACTTGTGATGACAAAGCTCTGCTAACAGGAACGGGTAGGAAAGTAAATACAGGCGGCGTTCTTATCGGCAGCAGAGGGAAGTGAACAGATAACAGTCTGTATGAACGATAGTGCTGCTCAAACTGAGTTGTGAGCCACTGCTGACGGCTGCGTACATCAGATGTCTGTTCCAACAGGTGACAGAACGGGTCAGAACATTTGCTGTTAGTGCCAGAATCCCACAGGGAGTGTGTGGCTGTGAGAATGAAGCCTGCTGCTGTTTAAGCGGTGCATAATTGAAATGAAAGGCCACCAGGATATGAGTGAGTCTCACGCTTGACTCTAAACACAGAGACAGAACCTTTGACTCTGGGATCAGCTCTTACATCAGGCACTTTACTTGACATTAAAGCTTCTTTGATGATGCGTCATTTTTCAAAAAAGGTCATGCAGACAATTTATGTTTCAATCACAGTGTTTCAGTGAGTTACGTAGCGGCACTTACCAAAGAAAACAGCAAGGTTCCCAGGCAGGCGTATGCGATGTATGCAAACTGTTGGGAAATAAAATCAGGTTTCAATTAGTGTCACTAGTTGAACATCATTTAACATAACACTTTTACTAGTTACATTCGGTTTTATTGACATTCCCAGCAGACAATTTTTGTCTCATGCATTTGTCTCAAGGCCAGAGCTTTAAAACGTCTGCACCTTTAATCCCCTTCTCCTCCTCTGAGCCAGTATAGTTAATGTGATGGTTCAAGCTGATAAACACTGATCAGAGTATCCTTCAAGGCAGCAGCATTTATTCTCTGTTCCAGTTCATGTGTCACATTCAGTAGCTTTAAAATCAGCCGAGTGCTCATTCCTGTAAATTCCCAGCTAAAGGGTTGTCGCGGCAAACAGCGGCGACCATTTAAATGCATCAGTCTGCGATCAGCGCACATCGTCATCTTTACAGTCTGCCCAGCACCCAAATCACTGCCATTACATTCTGGGAATAAAAGCGAGGAGGCTGTATGTCTGTATGTCTGACTGCATGCTGCTACCGCACCATTCAAAAGCCACTCTCTTTGTACAATGGCTCCTTATTTTACCTTAGTTTGGAGAATTGCACAGAGCAGTCCAAACGAGAGGAGAGTCCAGGCAAACACCCACACAAATGCGTTCATGGTGGTGAAGTCGAACTGTCGCCAGAAAGTGGAGGAGAAAAGCAGAAGCGACAGTGAATGTGACAGGCCGCTCCGACATGGAGAAAAACTTTAGACAGAACATTTTAAACTCATCACTGCCATAAAAGCGGGGGTGCTCAAGGTCGTCTGTATTACAGCTGAGCTGTGAGGCAGCACAGATTACCTAATGATGAAGACATATTGCTGTTTGACTCACAAGGAAAATTTTAATGATTCTGGATACAAAGATTCCGGGGATAATTAATCAACAAGATGCGACGCAAGCACAGAGTGGAGGTGGATTTTTTGGCCCGTGTGACCTTCTCACATCCACTGAAACAGGTGATCGCCCACCATGATCACCTGAGGAGATGTGGCTGAACATTTGTATGACAGTGACACAGCTCAGTGCACAGTGTGGTGACTGCAGCATGATAATAGGATTATTAAAGTCAAACTCCACGCTCATTTTTAATATCATGGGGCTATTAAAATCAGAGGTGTTGCACGTCACTAAATACAAAAATAATCATTCCATATGTGGTAAAAGGTGAAAAATGCTGAACTAAACCTCATGCATTTGACCTTTTCTGACCTTGGCGGTTGTGTAGTCAAAATATATTTTTTTTTTATGTTTTAATTAACCACAGCCAGTGAGTCCTAAACTACGGAGGACTGACAGTGCCAAAACAAAATGAATAAATACATCATTAAATAATTACTTAAATGTTATATTAATTAAAATTTAAATTAAATACATAAACATGTTATTAACCTGTCATTAGTACCAATTAATTTTACATTAAAAAACATATATACTTATTTCACTATTTATTTAAGTATTTTATGCTCCTGCATTGCAGTACTTCATGAACTAATTGTAGCTGTCAAAATCGCCGCCCATTAAAGTCAGTGGGCGGTGCTACTACTAATCTAGCCTGATCTTTTGATCAGAAGTAGCACGCTATGACAAAATGCTGAAGTAAATATTAACCTTTATATCTATATTAGATTAGAGAAAATGCTATAGTTGGCTCAGAGTCCATTTTAAGGTATTACTGTTTCGGGAAGGCACTAATAAAAACAATGCAACGTGTAGCTAAGGAAAACAAAACACAGGCCAAAACAAAAAAAAATTACAAAGTAAAAACAACAAGTTTAGACAAGAAGATATACTTATTTAACAATTGCCAATTAGATTTCTCAATGCTACAAAATAACAGTTATTTAGTAATGGTGATTTTTTGAAATTGAAAAATTGAAAAAAAAACTGCACTTAAATGTTCCATCATATGTAAGTAACAAAAACAAACAAACAAACAAAAAAAAACAGTAGTTGTCTCTAGCTGCTGTTTTTAAGGATCCAAATATGCTAATGTTCAGATATCAGTAAGAATCTTGTATGTTCTCATTGGCTCTTTAAACTAACATTTCATTGGTTCATTCCTTTTGCATTAATCCCAGTAGTACTTACCAGTCATATCCTGGATGTGCCAAAAGGCCACACCACCGTTAACAAAATCTGGGCTGCTAATCACTTGAACTGTCTTCATATAAACATTCCAGTCACTGCTGGAAATGACCATCCAACTGTAAAATATCTCCATTAAGATTTTCTTTATTAGACAGTTCACAGTGAAGGGATGGAGAAAGGATCCAGGGAATAACAAAAGACACCAGGTCATCGCTGTAGTCTAGATTTACGGTCAGAGCCTCAGCCAGTGTGATGCTGGGCACCAAGAATTAAGTTGAGTGGCAAATACACTGATCTCAGCAGTAATCACAGCGTTGCCTGGACAGCAAAGCCATCAGACTTTAAACCATTGCTGATGACTGCATGTAGGTGACGCTGCCAACAGCTCAGCTGAACAGCACAGGAAACACAGCCCTGAATATATGAATGTTCACACCACTCACTGCACTTTATGGAATGTCATTTTTGACTTCACTGCAAACTCAGCCAAGGGTATGTGACAGATCCTACCTTTGACTGCAAAGCAAACAAACTCAAGGAAAACGACACCAGCGCTGTCGCCCCCACGGCCCACAGTACCGGCTCGACTTTAAACAACCTGCGATGAGAAGGTGAGAAAGATGCCGCGCTGTCGCCCCCACGGCCCACAGTACCGGCTCGACTTTAAACAACCTGCGATGAGAAGGGGAGAAAGATGCCACATACATTATTATTATTATTATTATTATTATTATTATTATTATTATTATTATTATTATTATTATTATTATTATTATTATTATTATTATTATTATTATTATTATTATTATTATTATTATTATGCTTTAAATAATTACAAAACAATACTGAGTTAAACATGAGAAGTTTGTTTGATACCAAGAAGGAAATATTCATTTTTAAAACTACTGCTTGGCCTTTAAATTGTCAAATCACCCTGGCCAAATACTAATTAGTAAAATGCCATTATGGTCCAATGAATCTCTCAAATTTATAAAGGACTAAATAGACCAATACTGTTCAGATCAACAGGCAGAATGTTGTTGTTTTGAACTAATTGAAATGTTTTGCCTCAAAGAGCCATTTTACTATTAGCGCAAAACAAGTAATATCTGGGTTACTGGTTTTGATACAGGACAGGTAGATGATTGAAACATATGTGGCCGGCAAATATATTCTCTGACTATCTGGGTACAACTTCTAATGCTGTGTACTAGAGAAAACTGAAAGAGAAAAATACAACTTCTAATGCTGTGTACTAGAGAGAAAAAGCCAGAAAACTGAAGGAATGGATCAAAACAAATGGTTAAATATGTATTGTCTAGTGCAGTGGTTCTCAAACTTTTATACTCTGTACCACCTGAGAAAACATTGAACTCTCTGAGTACCACTGTGATGACCAACATTAGAAAATAGCAGCATAGGCCTTCCCTATTAGCTTCCACCACACAGGAGAGTTGTTTATAAATGTTTATAAAGATGCTTATGTTTAAATGTTGTATTAATTGTGCATGGTATGTTTCAGATTTATTCAATTAAAAATGTAAATGTGAAAATATGAATTTCCCCCACATACCACTAGAGAGCACATTACTTGTGGTACGCGTACCACAGTTTGAGAACCCCTGGTCTAGTGAGTAAAGAGTAAAAAAAACTTTTTGGGATGTATTTGCCATCTGTCTGTAACGTGTTTCAGTCATTTTCTATGAAATTAGTTAATAATATCCTGTTATATTTTGTTGGTAAAACACCAAAATATGTTTTCTCGGCATGATGGTAAAGGATACTTGTGTTTATTAAAGCAGCACTGTACAGAAGAATTGGTTTTGAACCTTATGTGATTCCACTGATTTATCTCAGCTCAAAAAAACTTTTTAACAATGCGTTTTCTTTTCCATTTTGGTAAGCAACAAGGACAATGGCTCATCAGACTAAAGATGGCAACAAAACTTCAGATATGAATGGCACAGGTTTGTTATGGTGTCATAGTGTCACACACTCACGCTGCCACAGATCCCAGCATCAGGCCCTCTGCGATCGTCTGGAGCAGGAACCAGTGAAAAGGGGAGAAGCAAAAAAAAAAGGAAAGTATATATAGAATCTTCCCAAAAAGGCACAAAAACCAAACAGTAAATAGAGCCGGTGTGGTGGGGGCTTAATTTGATGCCCGACTGCCACCGCTGCTGCTACTTACAAAGATGCCCAGGGCAATGAAATTAAAGGGGACCTGACGACGGAAGGTGTCACAGCAGGACATGACCACGATGAGCACCAGCGTCACCGCCCTGTTTCACACAGAATATAGAGTGTATCATAAAAACAGCACACAGACATGAAGAGAAAACACCATCTTCAAAAAGCCAATACACCCACTACATTATTTATGCAACGTGCGGTCGGGTCACTTCCTGGACTGACAGTTAGTGATTTACTCCTCTGGATTTCCACCGGAGTTTACTCGGGGAGATGGTGGAGATTTGTGGTTTGCCAGACCGGTTAAAACAAGAAGTTTGACTACATGTTCTGAAAAACTTACATCATGCCATAGGTGAACCAGTAGGTGTTGATCGCCCATATCCTCAGAGCGTCCCTGTTATTTGATGAGAGAGAGAGCGAGAGAAAGAGAGATAGGGGAAGTGTTTAATGGAGGCGCCATTCATTTGACAGAGGCAGCAGAATGATTGTATAAAATATTAACCGAGGACAGAGCATTGTGGAGCTGAATACAACTCGTGAAAAGAAATTACACTACCAATGCTCTGCCTTATCATTATACAAAACATATAAAGCTTTCATACTGCTGATACATCATATGGTAGAAATGCTCTTTTATTCTCCAGCACTCAGGCCTGACTTACATATTTATGCTGGTTTGAACAGGGTTGTGTTGCACATTTGTGGGCACAACTGTGGTTCTTAAGTGGCGATGGGTTCTCGATAAAACGTACAGCAAAGGTGGGTGGTGAAAAGGTGACTTTTTTTTTTTACCAGTAAAGAAAAGCGCAGATGATCCCGACTGTCACCAGGAGCTGGAGCATCAAGGTCAAGTAGACTTTTCTTATGAAGCCTGTTCAAAAAAAAAAAAAACACAGTGAGTAGCAGGAGTCCTGGAAGTCAGGATAAACACACAGGAGGAAGATAGATAGTGATGGAGGGGAAAAAAAAGTCTGCCACTATAAAGCAGTCAGGGAGTCAGGGTTGTTTTCCAGTTCTCACCAAATTCCATTCTCGCATTGAAATGATTTTCACTGTGGGCGCGACAAGAATAGGCTGGAAACAGCACAGGCCATGGAAAAATAAATTTGATTGCAAATCAATTTCAGGCAAACAAATTAAGGAGTAAATATTGTTGGCCACGTTTCAGCTCCTGCCACAGAAAATAAAACACAAAGACACTTTTTTTTCTTTTTTCTTTTTTACCCCTTCGTAAAGTGGCGTTGCTGAAACCACTGTCCTCTAAACCATTGAAGTAGTCAGGTGGAGGTTGACCATACTGCTGGTTATTACCACCTTCTGCCACACCCTGAGGATAGGAAGCGGTATTGTAGGGGCCAGAGGAAGAGACCACCGAGACATTAACCTTCCCCGTCTACGAACAAGAGAAAACAAAAGGCAAATAATCATCGTCCAGTTCCTGGTGACTGACCTGGACTGTATTTTCAGAAGGAATCACATGTTTGTATATATTTTACCTAAGTAGACAAACATGGGGAAGAGAAGTTTAACCAGTCATCTGTATGATAATACTACAACTTCTACCTTTTAAATGGTATAATCTGTCATTCATTTTGAATTTCTTAATCACGTTTCTAATAAAATCCCAGCCAGTGAGTCCTGGGCAGCTTTAATAAAACATTAAAACTCAGAATAACAGATAACAAAAGAATTAAATGTCAACCTCTATATTTGGTGTTCATAACATTACAGTAGCTGTTGCTGGAATTTGTTAATATTTCTCTTTGCCATATTATAATAATATAGAGAATGGTAATGGAATTAAAGTCCATTTACAGTCATTATAAAATGATAACCCATAGTCATATATTCTGATAGCAGATATTTCTCTGTGGTTGTATTATCAAGCATCGATAGTGGATGATGTCATGACCCAGTAAATCCAAAAAAGACACTTTTGCTTTCATTTATGACGACCGTTGGAGTATCGTTGGTGCTAATGACAACTACCAACCTGACAGATCACTGCTGCCGTCTGAGCCTCTTCAAAGCTCTGGTTGTTGTAAAAATTAGTGGTAGGTCCAGATCCCACATTTTCACTGCTACTGGTTTGACCCATTCCACATTAGAAAATTCTACTTTTTCTTTTAAACAAACTGAAAGACAAAAGTGAAAGAAAAGACAAACAGGCGAGTTAGAGGTCATGGCAAAGACATGACAATGGCCACTTGAAAAGTGTCGGCGCTTTCATCAGTTATGTCAAATCAGCATAAAGTGCAGCAGAGTCGGGGTGGAACAAATAAATGGGTAATTATAAAAATGATGCATCACACGAACAGAGCCACCCATGACTATCATCCATAATTATGGCCTTGAGCGTCTTTTTAATAGCGTTGTATGTATATTAAATGACCAGCTATGATGTGGTTAATTGATCTCTGAGGATATGAAGTCATCAACAGAAAAACAACATCAGGGATTTGTTTTCAATTCATACATTATTTACTAAAGACACAAGATAATGAAGTCCATTCATTAAAACAACAACCAACTGTATATGAACTAGAGCTACATTAAAACTGCAGTGTCTGTCATTGTAGTATTCAGTACTACAGATTCTATTCTACTACATGTATTCATAATACTGTACACTTCCTGTAATACCACATTCACCTCAGTGTGTACCAAACTAAGCAGTTCCAGAAGTTCCTCTTAACTATTTACCTTGTATTCAGCTTCTGTTTTGTTTGTATAAATATAAAAACGTCAAACATTCACACTATGATTCTGTCTTACCTCTGCCGTGGCAGCCGGGAATCTGCTCTGCTTCTCTTCCTGTAGTGTCACTTCCCTTTAGGGCAAAGTCTACCTGCTATCAGTCCGTCCCCACAGAGACAGGACTTTAGCTCCAGGGGAAAGGATGTATCCCTCATTAGGCTCAATGGGATATTCAGATGAAGTTCTTAAAATGTCATTAAAGCAGCCAGGCTGCCACTTTGTCAGAGCAATTTGTCTTTACATTCTTCTTTTACCAACACTCATCCCACACAGGCCTTGAGAGTAATTTGTTACCGCTGCTCTCACACGCTTCAACAAAGGTATATTAGTTTGCATCCCTCATAATGACACATCATTAGCCTGCTGTACGGTGCGCAGGGTGTCTGTAGCATCTCCTCCTTCACTGTGTAAAAACGGAACAATGACTCTGGGTGAAATCCCAGCCAGCCACGTGACTCCCGGCTCACCTGGGTCACACACTGATAGCAGGCAGCTATAGTGGAAAGTGTCTTGTGTGAGTGAGACGAATGAGAGATCAATCCACATTACACGCAACGATTAAGGATATTGAGCCACGTCAGGGAAGAAAAGCTGAAGACACGCTGCCAGCCGAAAACAAGTGGTGTAATCCAAAAACAAAAAAAAAGCCAAGTGCACGGGTACTCCAGGACACAACGACCTGAAAGATAGAGAACTTCACAGACGTTGTTGTTGTTGTTGTACGTAGGTCAGTACAATCGTCCTGCTACACTCACAGTGACTTTGTTCATGAATGAGACACTGCTGCAGCTCAGACAGGTGTAAAACATGACACAAATTAGCTATAAACTCTGGGATATTAAAGAATACACTTTACTAGAATAATAAATAAACTAGACTAAAGTACAGATGTGAAAAGAAGAAAACTATTGTTATGTTGATTACACCACTAATTGAGTGTTTTTATTGATTTTTAGGGAAAAACACAGGCTCAAAAGCAGAAGATTGTCCTGCAGCAGTGGTCAATGACTTGAATTTGAAGTCATTAAACAGGAAACATACATACCTAAAAATGTGTGCTAAATTCCCTACGGATTACAGACGGTCACAGCCCTACAGATGAGAAGCTGCAGTTCCTTTCTTGTGCCTTAGGTGTGTGTAAAAGTGAAACACACCACTTCAGAGTTAAATTTCAAGTTCTTTCTTATTTTATGGTAGAAAGGTACGGGCATTCAGAACAGCACCTGTGGAGTTTTATTGAGACAATGAATCTAGTGGATTTCTTTACAAGCTGTGTGCTATATTGACACTGACATTTTAACTTCACTCTTACAGCCGCAGCGGTGTGAAAACAGGGCTTCTTGGCCACATATGGCCAACCAAACAGCTCCAAGCACCAGCTACTTGATGTGAAATTCTAGATAAACTATTTGGTTTCTGTGTATGGACAGATAACATTCGTATTGTCGTTTTTCTGACTGTCTTAATATTTTAGATTTAGTGCCAGTGATGCCTCACCTGCCCTAGGAAACGTTAGACTAAAATACCCTGTTCACAGGTAGGTCACTGGTTGGGTTACTCTATCGGGATTGCATTCAATGCCACGAGGCATACGGTCAAGAGTTAAATTGTATTTAAAAAACATGAAAAATTCACATTTTCTGGCTAACTATAGAACAATGGAAGTTACAAGGCATCGATCACTGCCAGTGGCTCAGAGGTGAGGTTGTTGCTTCATAAAGAATTTATAAATCTTTCCCTCGGAGCAAATGTGGCTCAGTTGTGTCACAAACTACAAAAAAAAAAAAAAAAAAAAAAAAAAAAAAAACAACCCCAAAAAAAAAAACAACTAAAAAAAAGACCATTAACTATTAATGTCTTTAACATTCGTTATGCATTTCAATGCTGCAGACTGGATTCTCGTCTGCCCCCCAGTAGTTCGAGCTAGAATCCCCCAGGTTTACAGACGCTGTTTCTACAGTATGTCAAGCCAACCCTAGGGGGCACTAGTCTTCTTTGCTTCTTGTAACTGCAGTGCTTTGGACGTGGCTCCCTCTTACACTGCCACCTCCCCATCAGCACTGAGTTCTCCAGAGACGTAGCTCTTCACTCAAACTGCTGGAGCAAATCTTTCGAGCGTTTCACTGACATGTGACATGTGATTTTGCTGTAAGAGAGACCAGAGAAGAGATGACTGTGTGCAACGTGATAAAAAAACACAGACATTTCTAAAGTCAGAGAACATTTTACCTCATAAAAATGTATATCTTGCTTTTGGTCTCTCTGTCAACGAGATCAGGATTTAAACTAAATGTTCAAATGTGATGAGCTCACGCTCGCCTGTTCGTGAGATCTGAGTGCGATTTGAACGGCAGGACAACAAACAAAGTCACATTTGGACAGGCGGTTGAAACCCAGCCCGTGTTGACACACCAGTCAGTGTGAAGCCCAGTGTGAGGCCACATATAACAGATCTGATTCCCTCTGTGTTGTCCAAACAGGGGCGACGCAGGGGGCTGGAGCCACACACAGCTGAGTGTGTGCAGAGCAGGGAGCTGTGTCCATACACAGACAGGAGAGGGAGACACAGTGGGGACAGAGACAGGTAGAAAGACAGACGGGTAGAGAGACAGACAGAAACAAGCAAACAGAGAGATAGGCAGAGAGAGTGAGTGACAGAGAGACAGAGGGAGAGGGGGGGTAGAAACAGAGTGGGGATGAGAGACAGAAAGAGAGAGGGAAAAGACAAACAGAGAAGAGGTAAAATTGGAAAGAGGTCAATGAGAAACGAGACTTCAATAGATGGGAGTAATTACATGTTGAAGGACAGAGACAGACAGACAGACAGACAGGCAGACAGAGACAGAGACAGACAGACAGGCAGACAGGTAAATATAAAGAAAGAGAGTAGTCAGACAGGAGAAAAAAATACAGAGAGATAGACAAGTGGAAAGACAGACAGGTATATAGAGTAATAGACAGGCAGGCAAATACTGAGAGGGAAAAAATATAGAGACAAGAGTCTAGACAGACAGACAGACAGACAGAGAGAGACACAGAGAGAGACACAGACAGAGGGACGGACAGACAGACAGAGGGACAGACAGACAGAGGGACAGACAGACAGATAGGGTCATATAGTTTGGAGTAGTTTGGGGTCGGTGTCTGAGCAGGGACGCAGGCAGAGACAGCTCTGTTTCGTTGGACGACCATGATCCTCTGCTGGTGTTTTGAGACAGGATCACCGAGGGGACTGTTGTCTTATCACTGGGGAGGGTAAGATGGAGTCGTCACGGGAGACACTCTTCCCACTGCTTGCTGACATGACTTACTACTCCCTGGCCGTTGGGGCCCTCTTCAGATTTATCCAGTGGATTGAAAATGGTGTTTGATGTGACCCCACAGAGCTGGCGGCAGGTCCAGAGTTCTGTGTCACCGGATGCCTCTTCATGCCTTATTTACAGCCCCCCTGAAGCTGCTAATGCTGCTAATGTATGATGTATGATGAATCCTAGCTGGACGTACGGGCCGGTGGGAGAAGCCGGCGTTACACAGTGGGACTGCATGTGGTACAGTAAATAACGAGAAGGCCTGTGCTGTGTTCCACTTAATACCATGAGCTAGTGCAGCTGTGTCAAATAAGCAATGCTATTTCAGGGAAATTAACAGCCCTGACACAGAGCTCCCACTTAGTCCGAGGGTGGAATCATCCTTTCATTGCTGTCCACTATGGCCAGTACTACCTAGGCCTGCGCATGGCTCAGATTCAATGGTGTAATTGCAGTTAAAGTATCTCAATGGGCATAATTTAGTGCATAAATAAATGTTATACATACTTGATTTAATATAATGCACTAGTGTCTCAAAGAGCACAAAACTGCAGATGAATTTATCCCTATTAGAGTTCACATTAGCTGTGTCTACAGTGAGCACTCCATTAAGGCATAATAAATAATCTCCAGGAAAACGTCCGTCTAAATTTATTAAACATGAAGCCTAATTGATTATAACGAAGTCTGCTGCAGACAAATATTAACTACAATGTATTAAATGACAGTTTAATGCACCGTGGATGTGGCCGTGCTTTTAGTTTGGCGTCAGTAAAGCTAAGTTAAATGAACATTTACCAAGACATGGAAAAGGTTTTGACCAAAACATAGGAATTCAATTTAAGCCACTTAGGCTTCCAAGGTCAGGAGGGAACGAGAACCAATCTGAGCTGCCACTGTGACATCAGCAGCGTCCACGGAGGGGAAGGTCACCGGTGTAACACAGGGCCAACATACAATACAGAATTGTAAAAACCATTTATGTGCTAATCCACACCTGAGGTCAATTTAGAGCAAAAGAAGGGCAACATTTCTATCCCGTGGGCCACAGGAATATCAACTGTAGAGGGCTTCGTCTGGAACTAGAACAAAAAGTCAAGATTTTCTTCTTCTAGAAGTGTTCATATATACACCATATATTTAGTGCAAGGATGTTTTTTAAGAGTTTTTAGTGTTTTAAGCCTAGGATCACTGATCTTCAACATATAGGTCCAAGTCAAGAAGTTCTAAGACACAGTGAAAAACTGCTAACTCTTTACTTAATAAAATAACAAAAAGGTATTTCTGGACATATCCTCCATTTAGGTCTAAGCTCTTTCCCCTTTATCCCATACTCAACTCAACTTTTCCAACCTCCTTCCCTCAAAAAAAAAACCTAATTAATTATAACCAAGTTCAACTTTTGACAGAAAAGAATGTCTGAAAGTATAACATTTGTGCTTGAATATAACTTAACATATGTACATGCTGAATTATTCCAACAGAACATTTGGTGTCTCTAACTATACTAAAGTAAGGTTAAGGTTGAAACAGTTAGACAGGTGTAATGTATTTACTGATAACAAATTACATTTAGCACAGAACGTACTGCTGCACCACATTTTCTTTATTATCACAAACTGATTTAATGAACTGAATGCATTAAAAAACACACACGTTTAGTTAATTTGAGTAAATTTAGACCACGTACTCTGTGCTGACCAACAGCTGCGTGACAGTGTTAGGAAATCTAACATGTCTAATTATACAGAATTATTTGAGCATGGATCTATAATTTGCA